TAACCCACCACCTTCAACAGTTTTATGCAATAGACCAGCAGTGGCAACTCAGTGCATTGGCAAAACTAGTTGAACGTCCAGCATTGTATATGCTCCCTAGCCTAATAATGAGTAGAGTCTCAAGCAGTGCATGGTTGGGCCCTTCATCTTTTTCTATGCAACACAAAATATATTCAGTTTACACGGTCCGTGTCTTCAAATAAAAAGGCAGATGTAGGTGGAGGTCCAAGGTATTGAGATTCAAGATATTCCTAAAGAAGAATGCGCATAAAAATCAAGTTCTTCGAGCCTCATACTGTCCTACAATAGGAAAAGCCAGACCCAGAGGCAAGGACAACTCTTGCAACTTAATACCACTAGTTCCAAGAGCAATAAGCACTATGCTAACAAAAGATTCACAAACCAAAAGCAACAGAAATAATTTTGACACCTCAGGCTTAGTGTCAAGAGCTGAAAAACTCCTGATAAAAATAAATAACATACATGAATAAATTGTTAAATTGTTTGGTTGAAGTTGTTCTGTAAGATTCAAAGCAATTACTTGTCAGAACTGTCAAAATAACTATCAATAATAATTTAATCAATACTATAGATCACTTCGGAAATGCCTTGTACTCACTATGACCAGACTTCAGAGCGCTTTGAATGTGTTGATATGTGTTATGCCCATAGCGTATTCATGGTTTGTTTCTATAGTTCTCTTTTTGGTTTTTATGCATTGTGTGTATGATTGATTGTTTATGCTTAGATCTAAAACGGTGATAACCAGAATGCCTCTAGTTGTATATCTGTCAAGTCAGCCGCTGAATCCAAAGTCCTTTTCATCACATTGGACTTTAGATTCAACTAGAATTGAGAAGATCTTTGCTGATTCAAATCTTCTCTTGCTGACTCACAGAATGCGCATTGTGGAATTCATAAAGAGCCTGTAGGCAGATCTTGCCATCAAACATTCTACAGGATATACCCTTCCTACAAAAACTCAGATACTTTGCAAGTGCTCTCGTCTGAGCGGGTTAGAGCTATTCAATATGTCCACCAATTCCAACTCTATGAGTATAAAAACGGAGTATGAGCCGCGGCTGCGACAAGAATAAAACATGATCCAAATAGGCCAACATGCTGACCAAGGGAAACAGTCAGAAGAATCACCTATGAAAGGCCTATTTCAAGCCTGTGTGCCGTTTTTGGTCAGCAATTGATTGTGTAGCGTTCGCACTCTTTAGCTTTGGATCCTAGTGGCATAGTCAGACATAGTCTAGGAAGACATGTCATGTGATATAATATTCTCTGGTTGTCCGTGCGTTGATAGGTCACCACAGACAACAAATTGAAAGATTTGACGAAGGTTTGATGTCCCTCCTGTCTTTTCCAATGCTCGTAATGATGGGTTCTCCATCAAAGACACGCTCATGTCAGGGATAAATCCTGTGGGTGGCTGATAGTTGCGACATATGACAAAAGCCTCTGAATCGAAAAAACACACATAACGCACAACATCAGCACCACGTGACCGGATTATTGACAGGAAAATGCATAGACACAAGCTTCGCGTCATTGTAAAGCGGCAAGGCACACCAATACTGGAATCCCTAGAGCTTCTTGGCTTCGAGCAAGTCACTTCTTCGAAGAAACATTGAAGTTGATCATACAACAGGTCAGCATCTCTTCCTCGGAAGATCTTTGCAATGAATGTTCCACCCTTCCTCAACAAAGACAGTGTGATATTCAGAGCCTAGGAGGAGACAAAAGACATGATATGAGTTTTGGTCTGAGACAAACAACATCACGAGAGAAGGAGCCTCACAGCAAGCAATAACTGGGCCTGGACAAACTCATCCAGATCATGCAGCCCGGTCACTATGAAGGTAGACCAGTCTCTCAACTCACAAAGAGGGGGCTATTCCTAGTTTCTGATGGGCACGAGTGGGCTTACCATCAGGCGCCCCATCGCAAACAACCAGATCGGCTTTTTCTCCCCCGAAATGTGAGACGATCGCACGGGCAGTCTCGACTTTGGTGATGTCACCAACGAGTTGATGGACGCCGGCCAAGGGTGCCATCGGCTGAAGATCTACCGCCACTATTTTTGGAAGTCCATCCTCACGAGTCCGGCTTTAGTGGCATTTGAGGAGAAAGTGTGCATGTTTAGTTGGCCGAAGCATTCTGAGTTGGACTTGTAATAGCGTACCCAAGCTTTTTAACCAGAACTTGACTCCAACTTCCAGGGGCAGCACACAAGTCAACGACTCGGTCAACTTTACCGTGAGGACCGTTGAAGATTTCGAAATGCTCGTCCAAGTGAAGTAATTTGTAGGCCGATCGAGCTCGATAACCTTCAGATTTACCTAATCGATAATAGATATCTCGCATGTCTAAAAAGTACGAGACGGCGCGTTAGATGGATTATTTTAAGCAGTTTGAAATGGAATCGTGGAAGAGGAGAGAGCACATACCCTTGCTGCACTTGCCCATTTGACAAATTGACTTTGGTTGCTTTCTTTCTGCCAAAGGGAGTCAGTGTCCGAGGCTTGTGGTAAAGCCCCACTTACTGTCAAATCTGAATTCAGACTGTACCGCGGTACTCTGGCCCTGTTCTGTCGTGGTGTCACAGTGTGGTCCAAATTTCCAATCATCCTCGCGTTTCGGTGGCGCTCGCTCAGTTTCTTTTTGCCGATTTTGATTAATCTGTATGTACTTCCACCCTCAAAACTGCAGCGAATTCGCCGTGAGCTACTTAGAGATATACCGGCTATGAGCCATGAACAAAGCATGAAGAATCAGGACCAGGAAAAGTTTGGTCAATCCCGTGCTCTGCATACGCCTCACCAGTCTCATAAAGCCCACCCTAATCGGATCAGTCATTTCTTCGCCTGGGCTTTCAACTTCGCAAACTCCCTAGCGGGTTATCCCCGTCGTCAGGACCCTGGCCTTCTTCCCTCACCTGGATCACATCATTCAACAAGCGCTCGATCCAGCCGATTTTCATCCCGAGTGAATACCATCTTCACCGTTGTGATCTTTTTCGGGTCTGTATACGTCGTCTTGAGCTGGATTCTCGACCAACCCAACACCCTGCAACTAGATCCCGTCATCGACCCTGTCACATTCCAGATCCTACCCGCTGGGGATCCCTTACACCAGATCCGATCCACCACGAAATCCCCCACATCTAAAACCTCTGCTGCGACTGCAGCTCTCCAACTAGAGCTTGAGCAGCGGCAGGCAGACTTCCATCTACGCATTCAACATGCTGTTAACCGAAACATTACTAAAGCGTGGCGAGCCTTGAAGGATCCAAGCCTGGCCATCCTACACCACTCCGGGCCCGATCGTAATCATTCAGATGCGATGGCGCACTTCTTGTGGTACAAAGGAGACGAGGCTCTCAAGCGCAACCGACCTGCTTCCCAGTTCAAATGCGATGTAGGTCATCGCAAGCAGGGGAGCTTGTTGTTCCTCGGGGTCTTCACCACCCCCGAGGGGTTTGCGAAGCGAAACTTGATCAGGACTTTGTTGAAGACTGATCTCCCACCGTGGAACGTGACACAGGCGGATGGGACTGTGCGAATCCAGCCTTTGATTGACTTAGTCTTTGTCTCAGGCCAACCGACGAACGAGCATTGGAGATACCTGATCGAGGAGGAGAATCGGTTGCACAACGATTTGGTGGTGTTGGAAGATGTGGAGGACAATATCGATGGTGGTAAGACGTATGCGTATCTGAAGTGGGTCGCTCTGGGCGCCAACGGTCGATGGGCTGGGAAAGAGAGCGAAGGCGGATTGCAGGACCGGGATCCGAGAGTAAGATTGGTGGGCAGACCACGCTTTGTCATGAAGGCAGATGACGACGTGAGTGTAAAACCGCAGCCATTTCGCGAGGATGCTCCTTGTCAATCTATCCTGGGCCTCTCCGAGCTCATCGACCTACTCGGGCCTGTTTTTTTTATCTTCTTCTATACGTTGACCAGACTTTCCTTGTTATCCCCAACCTGATCAAAGCCTTTCAAGACTTGGACTGCAACATGAACATTTACTGGGGCACGAGTCAAGGTTCGAATCCATTGTTTGACCCTTATTTTCGTGGCTTGGGATATGCAATGAGTTGGCCATTGGTAAGTGCATCTTGAGATGCTTCCCAAAATCTGTCTATGTTCGGCATCGAAGTAATTTTAGCCTCTATACTAATGATAGTGGGGATACCCATTGTCAGGTCGAGTGGATAGGCAGCTCCAATATGTCGGCTGAGGCGCAAGTCGGCATAGAAGATGCTCGTGTCGGCGCTTGGCTCACTGAACTAAATGCTGATGTCGATCCAGTTACAAGGATTGATGTGGGCTGGAAGATGGGCGATTGGAACCAAATGGAAATTGACGAGACCAGTATTGGTTTACATTGGCTCAAAGCGGTCGAATGGTAGGTCATTCATTCCCTTTGCGTCTTCTCACAGAGATTATCACCTAAGCGCTGGTTGCTCATCTTTGCAGGTTTCCAATGGCCAAATTTAAGATCCTCGCGGCCTGGAAAAGAGCCGGCCAGAACTATAGATGGGACTGGCACGTAAAGTCGGGTTCTCGCGACTGATTTCCTCTCCATCATTTTGTTTGTTGGCCGTGGTTTCTTGTGGATCTATACGGGTCATTCTTTTCTGGGATATATGTTGTTGTAGAGTTTTACTAGAACAGGCCGCTTCGAATAAAGCTGTCTTGTATATCGCATCCATATTCATGTCCTTTCGCACCGACTGCTTCACACATCAAACTCTTTCATACATCTTTTCTGTTTTGTGGTTAACCAATTGATTAGTCTACCATTCTCTTTCTCATTGACAAAGATATACATCGCCACGCTACCCAAACAGGCAGCACTTCCTTCATACTGGTCTGCTTTCCCATTTGTACAATAACTGGAAGTTAGATATGTTCATGGCTGAAATAAACTGAAGTCTGATTGTGTAAAGCTTCTGAGCCCGATGATCTCGGAAAGCGACAAAAAAAAACGGGCCTCAAGGGGAATTGAACCCCTGACCTCTCCCAAGTGCGGTACTTGTGTACAACCCAAAGGGAAAATCATGCTACTAGACCATAAGGCCGCACTACGGCAAAACGTTGACGTTTATACTCTAAACGTCACCTTGACGTTTACTGGTTTTCGGGCCATGATGTGTACAGCTGACATACATCCTGACGTACACCCAGCTACTGAAAACCCACCTCGACTTGCATCACTCTCAAGAATCCCTTGACCCCAGTCACTTATACTCATCCTCCCCAACCCCCACCATGCCATCACAGCCCCTGGTCATCTGCACATGCTCATCATGCTTTGGCCTATCATTCATTGATTCCAACGGCAACATCAAACAAGGAAAGCTGATATCTTCTCGGAATAAGTCAAGGCACTTACTCAAGGACTGGGATCTGGCCAATGCTCCTGGATCTACACCTTTGCCGGACAAATCAGGTGAAGAGAGTGACACACCATTTCATTCCAGGGAATATTCAACTGAAGAAGAGGAAGACAGCCCACCTTTCATCAATATTTCTATCAAAGGTACCATGAAACTGTTATTTGCTTCGCTACAGATCCACAAGCTAATCACATTGACTCTATCACAACAGATCATGTTTCTGTCTTCCTCACTTGGCTCCACCTCTACTCCAAAGTGAGCCATTCGGACCCGCCTCTGGTGAAAGGGCGAGTGTTCCCCTTGGTAGCTTGTGGTGGAGTTACAAATCACATGGCAGATGGCTTTGCTGGTGTAGTAGTAGTGAAAGACATGTTGTTGAGACAACTTTAGAGTTGAGAGATCATTCCCTCATATACTTGGGCTTGAGCAGCCAAAGCTGCAGTGATCACAGCTTGGATTTTGGGGAAAATTGCATTGGGGTTTGGGATAGAAGACATTGCAGGTTGAAAAAGATGGGTATGTAGAAATGTTAGAACAATAAAGCATTGATGTGATAAGGGAGAGAAGAATGTACAAAATACTGCTTACATCAGAGTCTTATATAGACATTGCACTGCTTGGGGTGTGTGGCTTTGGGAGACCAATGTCCAAATGGGGAGTGAAGGAACATTATCCTAGAAAAGAGGCAAGTTTTGTGGATCCAAAAGTAGAGACAGGAGGCGGGACAAATTCAGATTGGGACTAAAGTTATAGGATGGTGGCTGACATTTGCTGTGACATTGGCCTTGACATACACACATGTACAGTCACTGAATGTGTAAATGTCAGGGTGACACTTACACTATAGATGTCAATGTTTTGCCTGTAGTGCCATGGGGGAGAAAGGCCTGGTTAAAACCAGTTCATTGTGACACCTGAAAAAAGGGATATGGCCCACCAAAATCAATTTTTCGGGTGTCTGAAAACATGTTTCTTGTCAGCCATGAGGCCTGATCAGCAGTCCCATAGGCTTCAAGCAATGTAATTACACATAGTAAACAAAATGAATAGGTGTGACACATAGTGTAACATATGTATTACATGTGTGATAAGTAATGTACATATGTAGAAACATAGTGTAACATATGTACTACATATGTGATCAGTAATGTAACAATTGAACCCCAGCTCAGGCTCAGTTTCAAGAGTCATAAGCATAGTATACTTATGACAGGAGCCAACTAGTAGGTTTTTGTCCTTAGAGTAATCAACCACAGACTGGCCTATGTGGCCCTGTAGTAGCATGAGCTGGAACCACAAGTCAGCCCATATTCTGAGAGTAAGGAAGCAGTAACTGTCACTGCCAAGAAAATTGCATCACATAGAGGCATGCTATGTCACATAGCAGGCCAAGATGCGATGCAATAGATCTATTTTCCAAGGTAGGGACCTTGAAAAATGGTCCATAGTATCACATGAAAGCAAGCTATGTTACATAGCAAGCTTCCATGCAATGAAAATATGTTGGCAGTGTGTCAGGGGGTGGCTTCTGTCAGGCTACCTCCTGGCTAGAATTTCAAGGAAGGTGTAGTCTGAAGACTAATTCCTTCCTGAGAAAGCCTTTAATTGGCTTATTAGTCCTGTTGGTGAGGTAGCTCTGGGAGGCTACCTATCTAGTTAACTTGGTTGATTGAAGGGCTCTGGGGTACCCTTATTAACAACTTGAGGCCAGTTGTACTGGGAATCCCCCAAGTACTGACTGCAGCTAGTTGACCTCAAGGATGAGGATTTGGGCACTGCCAAGATATTTGTATTGGATGGGCCTATCCGATGTTCTATCACCCCAAGATATGTGATGCAGTGTCAGTAGGATTAGGTGCGATGGAATTACTATCGGTATCTAATGCTCTGACACCATATT